ATCAGATTTTTTTTTAAATCGGATTAATGATCAGTGATTAAAATCACAACCGACGATTAGCGATTAAAAAAAATGTAAACATTAATCGTACGGATGATTACCAACACTGCTTACGGTACACTTTGTATAAATAAAAATTTAAAAATATGTGATACATATATTTGCAGATATATGTTCAACCAATTTAAAATTACTTAGTATTAAATACTGCAATAATTAGTTCCCCAAAGTTGGATGATTTTTCAATTAATATTGAATTATTTGCAAAGACATCAAAAGTGTAAGCATTTGGTTTATCTCAAGGAGGCTACATCAATTTGAAGTCAGTTGCTACATAAGCAAAAATAAATTACTTTTTCTGAGGAAATTGGTTGAGCTATGCCGTACTGGGTAGCTAATGGCGTAACAAAACGTATACGTACAGCAGCTTCAATATGTTTTATATTGGTATAGGTTATTCTATGTTCACTCCATTGTGTAAATCAATTAAGTAAATACCCAGCAAAAAACACGATTACCACAGAAACGAAAGTGGAAACGAGCTAGGCGATGGGAATCGCTTACCCTTTCGCTTCAAGAAGGCCTTATTTTAACATGGGCATGTCATTGGAGGTAAGCCCTTACCCGCAGCATTACCTTCAAACGAAGGGAGAACGCATGGATAAACAGAATCCAGAGAAGCGAACAAAGAATGCCTTACAGAGAAACTAATGTAGAATGCCTAGATNAGAATTTTTGGGTATTCATTCTATTTTTCAGCTGACTACGATGCAGCATTCTACTTTGCATTCTCCGAAATGAAGCAAAGAAGCGAAATAAAAAAAATATTGTAGGACATTCTACTTTGCATTCCCTGAAATGAAGCAAAGAAGCGAGACAAATAAAATATTGTAGGACATTCTACTTTGCATTTCCGGAAATGAAGCAAAGAAACGAATTAAGAAAGAAATATTATAGGACATTCTACTTTGCATTCCCTGAAATCAAACAAAGAAGCGAAATAAATAAAATATTGTTGGACATTCTACTTTGCATTACCGGCAATGCCTAAAAGAAGCGGAAAAATTCGAAGGCATTATAACGCTATGCCTTCTAGAACACGTTACCACTAAACGCGATTACCGATTTTTTGCTGGGTAGCTGCTCAAATTTGAATACGAATTCATTCGAATGGCATTAACTTATAGGTCTTTCGCTTACTCTTTATCGTTCATTCCTTCTACGAATTGTATGTATGTAGTTTTAGAAATTTTTTGTAGGTTAACCCTGCGGGGGACACTATTTGAAAAAGTTCGCCTCAAACATTTGGATCATACATACCTATTAACAGTATTTTTGACTACCTAGTTTTTTTTTCTTTCTTTAAATTGGGTGCATTAGATAGTTCAGAAGGTATTTTCCGTAGTGATTAATGTTATTGCCTCGGGTTTTCCAAACCGGGTTCCAACGGTTTTTTTCGAAAATCCTATAAGCGGTTCTTTTCGAATCTTGATTTTTCGAATATCGAATAAACGAGATTTTTTATGGAACAAACCGGTTTTTTCATTTCATACAAATCTTGACCTGGATCTATAAAAATTTTGAGTTTTCCGAAGTTTTCAGGGCTTTTTCCAGTTTAAGGGAAACCGCTGAATAGTTTTCAAATTATATTCTAGGCTATTTGGAGACGAACAGTAGATCACATTTGATACTAATAAAATATTTGGCGTTTAAACGTTTTCTACGTGTTTGGCCGAGCTTCTCCTCCAACTCGTGTTCTGTTTCTAGATGTTGTGACATAAATGGAGAGATCTAAACTTTTATTTCACCTCCGTAGAAGCTTTTTTATGGCAGAAGTATACTCGGAGGTTTGCCATTGCCTGCCGAGGGGCGGCCGCTATTCGAAAAAACGTTTTTTTATGTTGCTGGGACCAGAAATTTAACCCGAGTGCCAGTAGGCAAATCAAATCCGAAAAGAGTTAGAAAAAATGCAATAAAGTATAACAAAAAAGTTAAAATAAAAGCAAACGTGATTTTTTCACTGATTTTTATTTTTGATCTAAAAAAACCTTTGAACTTATTTTGCTTTGCGATTTTCTAAATAGAAGCGGTCTTTACTATTAAAATTTTATTGTAATTTTTGGTCATGACTTTACGCCAACGTAAGTATTTTCACTGTTTGGAAACTATCTAAAATAAAATCGGTTTATGGGGTTTTTTTCAAATCGAAATTTTTCGAATAACTCGAGAATAGGTTTTGGGAAAAAGGTGAATTATCGAACACCCAATCTCTCTTGACTCCGAAAGCGGCTTATCGCTATCCCCGAAAGCTCCTCGGGAATGTGAAGGAAGTGGGACCCAAGATGTTTAATCTTTAAGCTAGCGAAAGCAGTTGTTGATCGATGGGACAATGACAGGCAGCGCTTGCCCGTATCTCCTCTGCAGCAATATAAGTCTAGCGACACTCCTGAGGAAGCTCTTCGTCAAGGATGAAGCCCAGTTACTTCTCCCTGTGAGCGAGGTTTACAAATTGGAATTTTATTTCTCCGAGTGAAAAGAAAACAACAAGTTCCGTTTTAATAGTTACCAGAGTGCCTAAGGACTTATGTACCTCTAACTTTCAGTGCTAAGTCGTCAGCGTACGGGCCCACCCGATAGCTGCATTTTTCCAAAGTCTCCAGGAATTCGTTGACGATAACAGCCCAAAGTAGTTTGGAGAAAATTCCCCTTTTTGGAATAGTAGGGTTCTCTTCTCTATTAGGAATTCAACTCCCTTTAAGTATAGACAGACGGCAGTTGATCCAGATTTACAATTAATTCCAAAATGAATGCGGAACAGGAGGTACTTGCGATGACAACACTGGTAAAAAAGATCAGCTATTGTCTATTGTACTAAACAGTAAGCAAACAAAGCAATCGAGTTTTTCGTCCGCGGTAGCCGAGTGGAAACGAAAGAAAGGGCGGCTACGAACGCAATGGAAGGACCTGTCTGCACTCAAGGTATACAATTGGCGCAACCCCGCTACGCACAGAAACAATTGACGAGGTTTGTTGGTCTCAGCCCAAACCGACAAACGTTTGTAAAAAAAAAAAAAAAAAAAAAAAAAACAGAAGACCAACTCTTATAGCATTCGAATGCCTTGTTGAGGTGAGCTATCAAAAATATAACGCTTGCTTTTTATGGTCGAACCCTCTCTGGACGCGGAGCTATCAAGTTAACCCACAAAAATTGCTGTGCTGCTACTTATAGTTTTAACGCTGAGCTAAAGCCTACCCCCAAGCAACCCTGAGTTAAAAAGATAACCTGCTCTTCTGCAGGTGACTCTCATATTTAGTAGTCTTCCTGTATTACGGTCTTTGTGAGTACATACATATGTAAGTATTTAAGAATTAATGCATAATTCTTATGAAATACATGCATATTGTACTTGAAGACATGTTAGCCACAAATCCATTTCATCACAGCGAGCCGCATTTAAATAATGAAATTACGCTGAAATGGTGTACAACACTAATTTACATGCACCTTCTTTAACACTTTGTCCTTTTACCTTAGCATCAATCATTTTTTCTGATTGATGCCTTTGGTTAGTCTTACATCATTCGCTGCACTCGTGAAAGCGTGCAAAAACAAAGAAAGAGTAAAGTGTTTGGAACAATAAACTATACAATTTGAAATTATTCACTCATTCGTACGAAGAGCTATGGTTCGACGACGCGTCACCGCAACACTTGCTGCTTCAACACTTTTCTACACAATAATTGATTATTTTCCAACAAACAACGCGTGACGTGGAAAAAAAAAACTTAAAAAGTAATCTCTATAGAATTTGAAGTAATCGCTCAATACCTCAACGCTATATATATGTACATTTTTGTAGTCATAGAAAAACTTTCTTTGCCACAAGCCGAAGCGCCAACAATTGGGTATTACATCACCGCCCACCACAGACAGGAAAAACGAGTGCGCATTTTTTTTTTTTTAATTGAATTTTTCCATTTTTCATACAATGCAATTTTATTTCATTTTCATTCTTCTTACTAACTATTTTTTATTACCTTTTCCAATATACATACATACATAGGCAAATTGCTGTGGTTTTATGATTGCGGTAATTATTTCGAATGCAAAATATTTGCCGGCGTTTTTGTTGCTGTTGTTTTGTGTTTCTTTCCATCGTATGCGCAGCAGCGTAGCACACCTATAAAAAGTTAAGTGTAACTGAAACATTGCAAATAAAAAACGTTGAAAAAGTTAAAAAAAAAAACAAATACTTGTTTGGCAAAGGACTCTTCGTTCACAGGAACATACAGGACTCGCGCGCATGTATGGCTATGCCTTTGCATTTGTTACGCCCTCGCACACCCAGCTTCCTATTAATTTCTCATTCAAGTTCGCCCACTGCATTGCACTTTTTGCATCCACGCCGCGCCGCTCCAGGCTCACTTGCATTGTATTTGCATTTTTTTTTATTTATTTTTTGTCAAGCATATGTGGCCCAGGGCGTATGCGGCTGCACATTAATTATTTGTTACTCATACGTCCTGTGACCCTGGTTGTTTTCAAACATTTATGTGTACATTAAAAACAACTATGCATTTATATGCATTTTTCCTTGAAATATACTTTAACTTTAACTGTAATATTTTATAGCCACATTCCCCATGCGGTTTGACATCCTTTACTTCAGTTCTTACTCAGCCACACACTTCAAAGTGCATTTGCTCTGATAAACGTACATGCTCTCTCTCTCTCTCTCTCTCTCTCTCTCTCTCTCTCTCTCTCTCTCTTACTTAGTTCCCTCACTTAATGCTTGGTGTTCTCACTAATATAACCTCTCTCCTCACTGCTGACTGACACTATCCACAATTACGTCGCAGTTTTCGCTACAAAAACATCGGCTGAAAGCCTTCTTCGCTTCCTGCTTAATCATAGCAGTTGTGCGTCCCTTGCAAGCTATTCATGAGTTTTTAAATCGTATGTCGTCCTTGCCCAGCTTTTAGTTCGTTCGCAGCATTTCGTGAGTCAAGTACAGCCGTGTGTAGCATAGAAGTCGAATAACTGCCGTAAGCACGAACAGCACTAAAATAAACAAAAACGCAAATTTCATTCATACAAGCAAAAGTTTGCTTCAATTTGTTGCTACATGCAACTGCAGAAATAACAACCAACATACACGTTTGTCAGCAAGTGTCTTTGTGTGCATTAGAAACAACTCGGTGCAACCGCTGCACTCACTGCGCCAAGTCTGCCAGTCAGCCGCCCGTTCTTCAACGTTAGCCGAGCACTTTTACCGAAAACCACATGCATACATAGATATCCAACAACCTTCACCAGCCACCATCGGCTGGAATAGCAACAGACACAGCAGCAGCAGCAGCACCGGTTGCGGTTTATTTCGCAATTCGCAATTCGCAATTCACTCTCAGTCGATATTGGTCGCTTGTATGGCGCAGTTAGTTGGATTCTTACTCTTCTTCACTCTGCTGGCTAAACTGCAGTCGTCGTCCGAGTGGAAAAGTGTAAAGTGCGAAATTTTAAATGGGCCAAGCACACTAAAGCATACGACGTACTAATTTACATATTTGGGTTTTGCATGCATGCGTGAGTGCGTACGTAAGTATCACTTGGAAAAAATGCAATTAAAATTGTATGAAGCGCAAGTGGGCGCAAATTGAATTTGACTGTGGTGAACAGTGAATTTAGAGAGGGTTGCCAATGTGGAAATTTCATTAACTATTGCATAAAAGTACAGTAAATTAAATAAAAGCACACAGAAAATAAGCAAAATGATGACCTTCGAGATGACTCAAGCTTCGCAGAAAGATATACATAAATGCAGCCAATAAATTGTAAACTGTTTGCTAGAAAATCATGGGCCTACAAAGATTTGAAAAAAGCTACATTTGATTAAAATATTAACTCATCGTTTTAACGCACTCCTACAGTCATATAAAAGATAATAGGGACACGCCACTTTGGCCAGTTTTACCTATTTTCCTTTTATTTGTTTAGTTTTTGTTTCTAACAAAAACCATATATATAAGACCTAATTTCAAACTTTGTAGAAAAAAAGCAAAAAATGTTACAAAAAAACATTTCTCATTAAAAACTTTTACAAAAGTTCTAAGTATGCAGTTTCATAGCCCATTAAGTTGTAGCTTCATAAAGTGCAAGCTTCAAAGTACCTGAGAACTCGCGTGGATTTTTGATAATTATTTTCTTCGATACAAAAAAAAAATTTCGAACATACTTTGTCGGATTCGATAAATAGAGCAAATTTCATATTTTTTCGATTTCCAATAAACACTTTTTCGCTCATTTAAGAAGTCTAAGACGAGTTGAAGTTCGTATTTATATCTTCACAATCCGAATCTGTAGTAAAAACATGTACAGTGAAAGCTCCCATAAGCGGACACCGATGGTCACCTACTTTTTATCCTCCTATGGGACATGTCCCCTTATGAGAATTTCGCAAAAAATAATATTAAAATTAAAATTTAAAAAATTTAAATTTGCGGGTTCCTAAATGAAAATAATATTTATCCTTTAACTGATAAAAACAGAATGAATGGAACATAAATTCAAATTTATGGCGTTTTCCTTTCTGCCGACAAATCTCATTTCACGCTTCGCTGAAGCAGTTAGAAGGGGGCAATGAAAAGTAAAATTTTTTTTTTTAGAAAAGAAAACATCTTTGAATATGGAAGTGAGTACTTGTGTATATTTACATATCTACATGCGCAAGAGTCAACATCAGACTGAAAAAAATTAACCGCTTATTAGAGCTTCGCGTCCGCTTATGGGAGATTTTTTTCATAACTAGACATGTTTGAGTGTCCGCGTCCGTTTATCGGAAGATCCGTATATGGGAAAGCATTTTGTATGGAAAAAATGAAAAAAAAACAAAAATTGTTCGTTCCAAGGAATATGTCCGCTTAAAGGAGATGCCCGCTTATTAGAGCGTCCGTCTATGGGAACTTTCACTGTATGTCTTATTTAAAAAAATGTACTTCGGATTAGTTTAACTCACTTCCGGTCGAAACCGGAAGTCGGTAGTACCACCAAAAAGGAGAGCATCCCCGACTTGATAGGTCATGTTTTTGCGTTATTCAATAAAACATATTTCTCTGCATTTTAGAGTACGCGGACGGGTGGTCTAGGACACCCTGCGTATTTAAAATATGAACAAAATCAGACTATAAATACTAGAGTTGAGACTTTTAGTTCATTTCGATGATCGATCAACCTAGTTCAAATCACTCAAGTGAACTCGTTCATTTAGTTAATTCTCGTTCATTTTAGTTTACAACTTAAAATAGTGGATCCGAGAAATAAAACACTACTAATTATTTATCAAATAAAATTTTAGTATTTTATTTTGAATAGCATTCAAAGATAACATAGATATTAGCTTTCTTATGAGCAATTCACTTGAGATCATACATATACAATCTCGTTAGCTGAGCGGAAGATTGAGCTATCTCGGCAGCGCCCTACCTCAGAAAACTTTTGATCTTCCACTCAGCCATCGATATGTAGCTTTGTAACAATTCAGTAAAGATGATTATTTTAGTACATACAGCGGCCGTCAAAAATAGATGAATGATGTTCCGTTTTTAATATTTACAATATATTTTAAGCAAAATTTTTTTGATATTTTTTTATAAAAATATTGTTCATGCTTTAACAAAAACAATATACATAAATCACTCTTTCTAATATTGTGCACAACTTAGAAAAATTCCACAAAGTTTTATCTAAATTTCGAGCTTTTTAACCAGAATTTCTAGAAATTTTTTGGGCATGCAGTTCACAAGCTTATAAAATTCTAGTAAAATAAGTGCAACTTTTGAGCTGCTAAAAAATCGCATTGATTTTTAATAATTATTTTTGTTGGCGGCGTTTTGCACTTTTTTCTATTTACAGGTCTATTCTGCACGTTACCGAAGATTTTGTAGCCGGAAAATTGTATTACCAAATAATGTTACCAGTTCTTGTCACCGCGATTCTAGGTACGTTGGTAATGCAGTTAAAATATTCAGCAATTCAGCTATGAAGAATTGTGCAAATCATGGCATTGAATATTTCACGTGGCAATAATTTGTTACCGGTTTATGAGATGGTAAAAAACATTTGCCGGTTACAAGAGTACACAGAATGCTAAAAGGGTTTAAAAATTGACAAGAACTTTATTTACCGGTTACAAACTTTTAATTACCAGCGCAGAATGGACCTGTAATACATCGTTTTAAAGGTCTATAAATCCTCTTTTCAAAACTTGTTCGATTTTTAAAATCGGATGGAACAGGCTATCAATAGTTAAGTGCATCAAATACGAAAATAACGTTTTTTTAATAAACGCGGTTAGGACTCGGTATAATTAGCAAAGGCGCTGAAGGTATTTTACCCAAAGTTACTGCACGTTACTTGTTTGGCACGCCGAGTGGCCGAAGATATAAGAGCTCGCTTCAGTGATGTTGACGATTTAGGGCAGTTTTCTGCAGTTAAAGAATGTACACGAAAAAAACTGGTCGCACATAACCAAGCATAGCTCGGTTAATCATAACATTAAAATAAAAATCGGTAGACACTTAAAAAGCTGGAAGCATTTTCCACCTTACTGCATCATTTCTTTTTAGTAACAAAAATCAGTGTAGAAACGAGGACCAAGAAAGAAATCGATCGCGAGTTAATATTGCGCAAAAAGCTGGAAAATCCCAGCATGTTCCATAACGACATCGCAAAAAAGCTAAAATTTCCAAAGTCTACCGTTACTTATGTGCTTAAAAAATACAATGAATGTTTATCTTTAAAAAGGAACCCTGGTAGTGGCAGAAAAAAAGGATTTGCTTGCGAAATTAAGGCAAAGGAAGTGTTATCTGCTTTTAAGAAAAATCCTGGACTTTCGGTAAGAGATGTCGGCAAAAAATTAAACATGTCGTCTTCGTATATACAAAAAGTATGCAAAACAGCAGGACTACGTTCTTACAAAGTGAATGCAGCACCTAATCGCAACGGTAAGCAAAATTTGTTGGCGAAACAACGTGCTCGGAAATTGTACGACAGTCTCATACAAAAATTTGGCTGTATTGTTATGGATGACGAATCGTACGTAAAAGCCGATTTTAAACAAATCCGGGGCCGCGAATTTCACACTGCAAATAAAAGAGGCAATGTTGCAGATAAATATAAAAACAAAAAGTTTGACAAATTTCCCAAAAAGTTTCTCATTTGGCAGGCAATTTGCCAATGCGGCTTCAAAAGTGATCCTTTTGTAAGCACTGGTACAATTAACCAAGAAATTTATGTTAAGGAGTGTCTGCAAAAGCGACTTTTACCTCTTATACGGCTTCATAAAGATCCAGTGCTTTTTTGGCCTGATCTCGCGATATGTCATTACGGAAAAATGGCTTTAGGATGGTAACATAGAAACAAAGTGTATTTTGTAGCAAAAGAGGTGAATCCACCTAATTGTCCAGAGCATCGGCCGATCGAAACCTACTGGGCCGTTATGAAATCCAAACTTCTTAAGACCCACAAAGCTGTAAAAAACGCACAACAATTCAAAAATAAATGGCAGCTGGTTTCCAAGGAAATCACTGAAACTTCTGTGCAAGGGCTAATGAAGGACATAAAGTCAAAATTGCGATCGTTTGCTTATTACAAAGAGAATTAACTCTTTTTTAACGAATTTCAATAAAACTAAGTTTAGATGTAAATATATGTAAATATCGTTTAATTCCATTAATATATTTATGTTTTAGAACGTTTTAACTGTGACCAGTTTTTTTCGTGTACATTCTTTACCTTTATCTTTAAAGCTCACTTTATAATTCAAAGTTGGATAAAAATTAAAGCAATAGCCACAGTTAAGCATTTCTTTTGACGTAGGTATGTTTCTTGGGTGTAAACCAATTGAAACCCGAAAATAAAATGCTTTCCTTTAGACACAATCATAAATTTTAAAGCAACCTTTAAATATAAAGTGCACTTTAAAATTACAGCTTACATGAGAAAACGGCCCTTAATATCGAATGGGAAAAGATATTTTTATAATCTGCTTTGTGCGTTGAAGCTTTTAAGAACATGTATCCCAATATCGCTCTTCTGCCACAGCCCATATTAACGAGATGGGGAACCTGGTAAGAGGCGGCAAATTTTATTATCTAAAGTTTAAGGAATTTTAAAACTTTCGTAAAGATCTAAATGATAGTGATCCATATTGGATCTACCATTTATAACGTAAAAGTTAAAATCGAGCGTGCGTACAGGACGTATGAATAACATTCCCATCTTATCTGAGTAACTCATACGCCATGTACGTACGTTCGATTTTAACTATTCCGTTATAAATGGTAGATCTAATATGGATCCACGATTAAGAGTTTTGAAAATGTGACACCAGATTTGAGTTCAGCAAGCCCGAATCTCAAGATTCGGGCAAAAATGTTGAATTAACAAAAAATTGCCCTCCATCTTGGATCAGCCATTATGAAATTTTAAAATTTGACACCAGACTTGAGTTTAGCAACGCTGTCCACTCCCAGAGTATCAAGTTCAGATCAACAACTTTGCACTAAAAAAAGTCATAAACTCCTCCATTTTGGATCGGC